AATTAAAACAAATAAGCACTTTTGATAGAAATATAATGCAAACAATAACAATTAATGAACCTAAAATCAAATATAAATAACAATAAATTGTAAGGAGATAAGGATAGAGAAATCAAACACAATGATTTATAGAGGTTCGGTCCTTCTCCACAAAACACCTATGTCCTCTCTTCTTGGTTGTCCACACCACGACTTCAATCCACTATTCTTGAAATGAAATACAACCTATCTTTTTCTTTCTAAGGCTTAAGATAGAAACCTTTACCCTTTGTAGTATTTTACCTAATCTCACTACAAAGCTCTCAAGAGGATACCTCACCTCTTGTTCTCTTCCATTCTTGTATGTCAAAGGTAATTTTGCAAACAATAGAACAACCTCTCTAAGGCTAAGTGTTTGCTAAGTTTCAGTACAAGAAAATGATAAATGAACAACAAATATAATTTAGATACAATAAATACTAAGATATAGACTTTGAAGCTCTAAAAACTCTTGATTATTTGAGAGAATGAAAATATAGCTTGTTGGCTTTTGCTCTCTTTATTCATTAATCCTCTTAGTGTGTTGGAGTACCCAATTTATAGAGAAATTGAAGAAGTAGCCATTGGGGAAGCTTGGGAAGTGAAAATAGCCATTGAATGCATGAAAAAAATAGCCGTTGGTGTGATTTCGCCCATACCTGATCGATCCCTTCCTTGAGGGGATTGATTAGTTCAAGTTTTATGCCATTTCATACTTAAAAAACATGACCCAATCGATCCCTTCCGTGAGGGGATCGATCCTATCAATGGTTGGGTGGTTATCTCCTGTTTTACACTCTACTCACTAATTTGATAATATCTTGAGTTATATAAATCCAAATCACAAACCGTTTGAAGATTTAGAAACTAGACTTAAAGGACTTTCTATCCATATAAATTCATCACCTAATTCATTGAGTATGAATTATAGTGAATTTTTAAATTTACCCCTTGTGCAGTTTTTCTAACAACTGTAGAGTGTCTAGTAAAAATTCAAAATATTTTCTTAGAAAATTTGGATTTTGATTTTGTTTGATCCATTAGAAAGTAGACTCAAAGAACTTTCTAACCATATAAAATTAAAACTTTGTGAATTAATACAGAAAAATAAAATAAGTTCAATGTTGAAAAACTTTGTTATAGTAAAACAACTTTCTTAAGTTAATCTTTTTCTCAAAGCCAATATTATCAAAATTGTATTAAGTCCAAAATAAATAAATTCACTTTTAAAACAACAATTAGACTTTTATTTAAGTTCAAATAAATAATCTTTAAAGATAGATTTGGTTTGAGAAATATGAAACCAAGAAAGGTTGTTTAGACTTTGAAAATCATATTATTTATTTAGTACTAAAATATAAAATTTAAGAACATGTACTAAATAAATCTTTTTCAAAATTTTGATTAAGTTTATTTATCTTTAATGTTTTGTCATTTCAAAATAAGAATCAATTCAAGGCTAACAATATATATTTTTGTACAATGAAATTCTAATTAAATTCTTAAAAGCTTTATCTTATAGAGCCATATATACCTATTTATTAGAACAAATGTAAATGTGCTTACATAATTGATCAGGCTATATTTTCCAACCTCATCGTCAACCCAAGTATTAACGTCATCCCATCCCACTCACACTTAAACTTAAGATGATTGTAGTACAATTAATTAATTATAATTTAAAATTATATGAAATTTATTAAAATTTTATATAAAACTCGTATTTATAAGTGATGGACTTTTATAAAAATTTTAATTTTGATTGAATAATTATAATATTATAATAAAAAAGTATAAATGATATGTTCTCCTTAAACTTTGCTTGGTATAATGAATTATCAATGGAATATAAAGGGAGAAGATCACTGAAACTACATCCATGCTAAAACCGAGTACTTGACTCTTGTCCAACATTGTCATGCATACAACATTACAAAAATATTATAGTATCTTCTATCACTATCCAACCAATAAAATGATAGACTTTAATTAATTTCAGCCGAGTTAAACAATGGGCTTTCTTTGAAGGTAAATATAATTGATTAGATTGTGTATACGAGACATGTCATAATCCATCGATCACATTCTCGGAACAAAAGATACAGTAAAATTAAGTTCGAAATAACTGCACAACTTTGTTCAAGTAACCCTATTTTCCCATGTGAATAAGGTCTAATTTATTAGTAAATTATTATTAGTAAATTAGACAGATTGTTGCCGTAGACTTTTTTTTTCGTATTTGAATTTATAAAAGTTTAAATGATTTACGTGGGTGCCAAGGCCATTTTTGTTGTATTGGCAATGGGTTTCATTTCAAATCAAGTTGTATTAGTCTTCCTCTCAGTCAGTCATAGTAATTTCTTTGAAACTTTTCATCATATCTGTATCTATAATATATATATTTTTATCCAACTAGGCAACAAAATCTACAATTCTCTGACTTCATCTACCTCGAAATTGTCCTAATGTGTTACAAGGTGGCAAATACTATTTCTCCTTTAGCTGTATCTAGTTTTTCAACATATTTCTCCGTTGATTAAGTTGTTTGGATTAACCTCACTGCGCCAGAGTGTGGATGCATATTACAACTGATCTTAGTCAAAAGTATCACATCAATGTAAAGAGTGACTAGTTCCACAACTCACACAATTATTAATTTTATGTGTCAATTCATCTTAAACAAATAACAAAATTAATACTGCATTTTTGGACTATCTCTTATTAAAATTAAATCATGTAACGATTTTTATCGGGAGCTGACACAATAGTAGGCATTATATTAATCTTTTCAAAGTTTAAGGTAGTTTTAATTTTATTCAAGTTGCTATGATACTTAGATTGAATTTATCATCTATTTTAGGTGTAAATTTTACTATTAATCTGTTATCTTTACGTAATTTTTAATTTCATAATGGTCAGAGGTATTATTTTAATGAGAAAGAGTATTGATAACAACTTCTATGCATATTTTTATTGAAAAAATATTTTGCAACAGTTATTGCAATATAACATTTTTTATGTTGTAAAAAGTTATATAAATTGAATTCTGGTTATTAAAATTAAAAATTCAGTTTCTACCAATTAACCATTTGTTTGTTGCTTGTTAGCAACAAAGTTGTTTATACTTTTATTGTAAAATGTATTAACCTATTGCAATATAACACAAATTATGCTGTAAAAAATATATATTTTGCAACATTTACATAAATCATTCAAATTATTGCTAAAAATGAAAATTTTTATACTAGATTTAAAATAATTTATTTTTTCATTAGCAACCTTTTGAATTTGTTTCAAATTCATATACAACAGCTAGCATGTTGTTAAAATTTGTCATGTGTATGTTTATCCAAGCACCAGATAGCAATTTTCATAAGTATTAAATCCAAATTCTAATATTACATTGAGGATGGATAACTTTGGAACAAAATTTAAAAAATCATAATAAAATTGAGTTATTTAAATTATGAATGAAAATGATAAATTATGCAACTGACTCTCCATTTTAGCATAGCCTTTAAAATTATACATTAAGAACAAATACAATATTGTTGGATCAGAAAATTGGTTTAAAAATTCCAAAATTTTCTTCCCCCCTCTCCCATCCTCATTTTTTTGGATGTCGTAAACTTCCATGCAGCGTATCAGCTGAAGTCATTTACTTACTGAAAACTTAAAAAAAAAAAAAAAAAAAAAAGTAAGAAATGGGAGTATTTATGGCGTTGTTATCCTTAGGATAAATAAATTTGGATCCAAATTAACTTGCTTTTTTTATATTTTCCCCCTTTCATTTCTTTCTTTTGGAAAACCATTTAACTGAATTTTCCTTGAAAGAGTGTGTTAGATTTTCATATCAGCAATACCCCCCAAAATAGGTCCAAAAAACTGAAGACATATTGTTACTCTCTGCTTTTTTGACTTTTGCCTATAATTCACGTCGGTACCAAACTCAGGGTCGGATAATGATTTTATTGTCCTGTTGTGAAAAACCAATCTTTTTTTTTTTTTTGCTAAACCAATCTAAAATTATTTTGTAAAGTATTTTTTTTATATATTTAAAGATGTCAAAATTTAAATTTTAATATTTTATCAATTAATCACACTATTTTATAAAATTTCATTGAAATGGATGAATGCCAAAGAAAAAATAAGAAAAAAAAAAAAAGAAAATTTATTCATTACCTTTTTTTTCTTCTTTTTCCTTTTCCGAGAGAATGCCAATCATCTCTTTTATTTTTGGTACAAGCCAATCATCTCTTTACTTAATTAGGTTGCTAATTTCCCCACAATTATTGGGAAATAGTAGTATTACTTTTCCTCTTTATCATTGGAAATAGTGGTATTTCTTCTCCTCTTTATCATTTTACCTATGTTTGTGTTAATGGCCATGAGATTACTTTGGGACTTTATATTTGTCAGAGAACCGAATTTAACTATTCTCACTCCTTTACCCAAAAAAAAGGAAAACAAAGAACTATTCCCACTCCCAAAACCCTCCAGCTGTAGTTTTCCCAAGTCCCAAATGGCATATAATTGTCTCAAAAAATAGATGTGACTCCACTTTTGATCTTGTAATAAGTAGTCATTTCTCTCCATCATTTCCTTGAACTGACTACACCATTGAAATTTCTTCTCCTCCTACATCTTTAAGTTAGCCATGGAGGGGTCAAGGAGCAATCGATTTAATTTCCTTGTTGAAATTGAAATAGTATAAAGGTTTATATTTAATTTATTATTAGTTATAAATTTTATATATAATTAATAAATCGGGTGATGATGTTTTATTAATAAAATAAATTAAATGATGTTATTTTATTAATAAATTAAATTTTTTAAAAAATATTAAATTTTTATATATTTATTTTAAAAATTAATATTTATTTATTAATGAAATAATATTACTTAATTTATTTATAAAATTTATATCTTGATAATACATTAAATATAAATTTATATTATAATGATAACAACCAAATAAGAAAAGATAGTCTTATATATCAATCTACAGTGGTTAGGATCCAACTCTTAAAATAATTAGCAGTAGTACATAGAAAGCCTCCATTAAAAATCACTTTCATCACTTTAACTGATGGGTCATATAGCACAGCATTGAACTATTCATTGCAATGCGGATCAGTATGATTTCTCAGTCAAGATGACATGTGGGGTGGAGCCTTCAATTTCCAGGATAAGTAGACTTACGAACTCGTTCCCCATGGCCCTGGTTATATCTACTTGCTCATCTCTCCCAACTCCCTAAACTGCCATATGTCATCCATGTTCCATAAAGTATCTGTCATCTCATTACAGAGCCAATTGCCTTCACCCATCTGGCATTCAGATGCGGATCCTTCATAGGAGCCCACAGCTGACATGGATGCCAGGCTGAAACCCTCCACGTCATAGCCACTGCTGTCAATATTGTAACTTCCATTAAGAATTTGGTTATTGTTGTAGGCACAAGTATGGCCGTATACATTTGGACTTGTTAGGTGTTCGGAAATTTCAGTTTGCTCTGAAATGTTCGTGAAATTTGTGGGATAAAGACTTTGGGTGGTGACTGAACTTGAATTTTCGAAGGAATAATTTGAATTGTCTGTGATTTTGTTTGAAAGTGAGGAAAATTTTGACAATGAAGGGACTGTGCAGTCTGATACTTGAGAAGGAACAGAGCTTTGGGAGCTCATTTCTTTCAAAAAAGGAGAAGAAGAGGATGTCTGTTCCACTTTTTGAAGCAATCTTGGTATCCAAAAACATCGAACTGCCTCAAGAAATCTCTTGCTGTTGGACTCAATATTAAGTTGGCGAGCCTGTTTTTGCACCCTTGTTCTCCAATAGTTCTTGATCTCATTATCTGTTCTTCCTGGAAGATGCTGTGCAATTTTTGACCACCTAGAGCGAAAACAAATTTCAGAGATACATCAGGGCATCAGTAAACAAATGATAAAACAAAAAATGCGCCGCCACAAATTAATACGTTAAATCAAGAAATCAAAATACCTGTTTCCCCACTTGGAATGAAGTTCAAGAATCGAGAGCTGCTCTTCGGGAGTCAGGTTTCCGCGCTTAATGTCAGGTTTTAAATAATTTAGCCACCTTAATCTGCAACTTTTACCAGTTCTCTTGAGACCTGAGGAATTTAAAGGTGGATCAACGAGAATATGGGGTACAACTGAAAAAAAGAGTAAAGATTGGTGTACATCAATTAGTTCAACTTGTTTAACGGTTAGTTGATCAATGTTTTGGTACCTGCACATTTTGCCAACATGTTCCAACGACCTTCCCCATGACGAGCAATGTAATGGGTTAGGAGAGTATCCTCTTCAAGAGTCCATGGCCCTCTTCTCAGCTCACTGTCCTCTTCAATAGGAGTGGACATGCCCTTTGTAACAGGAGGCATAGCTGTTCTCGTATTTTGTGTTTACGTGGGTGTGCGTGTTACAGGCAGAGGCTCTGGCCCTTGGGTCAAGGTTTTTGATTTTTGGGGTGTTAAAAGGCTCAAAGGTAGTATTATTATAGCAATGAAGTACTTGGCAAACTGAAATTTATAGGTTTCAAGGGTCTAAAACAAGGTCCGAACTACTCCTAGAAAGTAGAAAACTGAAAAAAGCATACACCGCAATTGGAGGTTCTGCACATGCCCATCAGCCTTTATATACAAATAAAGTAGAAGAATTTCAACTGTACAATAACCTATGAATTATAGGATGCAGAGGTGGCAAGGCTAGAACAGTCCCACAAATGGGCCCTCTCAGTGGTCATATAAAAGAGCAATGGTGAAAGACGTGAAATTGGAACATTCAAAGTATTTCTTTAATCATCAATCAATCGAAGAAAGGACCCAAATCAGATCGGATTAACGATCATTTAAATAAGTACAAAGTGGGTAGTATTCCTTTATATCCCTCTAACTGTGTACTCTCATATTGAACTTTGAAGAGTCGTTAAGTTATCCATTCAACCGTGCAAACACACACTTTGTCAGAAAAGTTTAATCTAATTAATAGGGTAGATATGTATGAGAACCGCTAAAAAGCCTAGGGAAGATGAGAAAAGATGCTTGAAATTGAAATCTAAGGAGGTTTTTTTTTTTCATGGGGAATGATTCCTTCCATTTTCTTGTGTTTCTAGATTCACTTTAAAAGAAACGTGCTTGACTGAACAAAATATATTATATGATAAAACTACACAACAAAACGTGGACTGGTGTGGCTTTCTCTCATCAGGGGTAGGGCGGCGTTCAAGCATGTTAGAAAATTTTGTAACAGTGACAGTGTCATTGGAAGAGAACGACTGATGTGCACGGTTCTTTCTTTCCTATTAAATTCGTCTAGCCAGAGTCTCAGACAAAGACTAAATAAAGGGTTCGTATATAAAATATAAGGTCAGTGCAGCAAAATTTGACCATATTGAATTAAACAGTTAATCTTTTCACTAGGTTTCTTAGACTCTAAAAATAAAGGAAATGATTCTGAACTAGATTAGTCCAAATTGTTATGCATATCTCCTTTTCACCGTCCACCCCTCTTCCCTTTCAACATATTACCATTGTTGGTGAGTTTTTTTATTGTATCTTTTTACAAGGGGGTACATGATGATCAGACCTCAAATTTGGCGATGGTAGTTGGGTTCGGGGGGGGGGGGGGGGGGTTTAAGGCTATGAATCGATTGAAAAGAAGTTGAGAAAAGAAGAGGATCCAAAAGGAGAGACTTTGAGAATCAATAATTGATGGGGAGAGTGCTTTTGTACTTTGCAAAGAGGGAGAATTCATGCGTAAAGATAGAGTTTTTTTTTTTTTTTTTCAATTTGAGTTGATTGATCTCTATTAGTGGTGCAGATGCCTTTGTCGCTTATCTTATTTTAGAATGCAAATGCTAGAAAGCTCATGTGAACTGGTAGTTTAGATAGGGATTGGATACATTAATTCTCTTTCATGGGGGATACCATTCCTACAATAATAGTGGCCAGGATGACATGAACATGAACAATGATAAAAATGTGACTTAACGCGCCGCGCACGGGTGTTATTAAGGCGGTGGGGGACAAGCCAAGCGATGAATCAAGAATAATGAACGACGAAGAATAGAAAAGTGATAACTATAATCCCCATATATACATCTATATAAATGATTAATTCTTGTTATTATATGCTTTAATCTCTGATGAGCTAGCCTAGTGTCTTGTACATGGGTAAAGTTAAGTTTCAACATTGTGAGTTGATCCTAGTACTGATGAAATGATTGACGCGAAAACTCCCTAAGCAGGAAATCATTTAAAGCTGTGAAGCACTGAGCAACTTGGTTAGTTGATGGTTTGACTTATACAACCCCAATAATGATTTAACAGGTGAAATTCTGCGTCTTGTCCTTGCTCTTAGTCCCCAAAAGTCAATATCTTGCTTCGCTTGTAATTAATTACATCAAAAGCTGGCACAAGAACTTTCATATTTTGGTTCTTTTCCTCGAAAAATCTTTATTCTCTTTCCGTGGATTTATATTGTGACTTTTGGATGTATGGTTGTTTTGTTATTTGTCAATAATGCCAATATTGCAAATTGCTTGTTTCACCTGAAAAAGTTTACTTCTAGCTATATAACCCTTTGCTCAAAGATCCGAGGAAAAAGAAAAAAAAAATTTTGGCCAATGAGAAAGGTAATTACTTTTCAACCAGAGAAATATAAGCATTTTTCACGAAGTCAAATTCCCGCATACAAAAGCTTTCTAAATTTGATATAAATATACATTCTTTAGTTGATCTTTCTCAATGTTCTTCACAATTTTAACAGATCGTTTAGGATTCTGCACGATGGATTAATACCACCCAAATTATTACATTAGTAAAATAAATTACCAAATATATCCAATTTGGCAGCTGAAATATCATTTTTGTTTTATCTGATTGAGAAGGAAAAAAATTAAGAGAGAAGTGATACTTGTTGCCAGGAAGGGGCACTTTTCTAGTTTTAATTTATTTCACTTTGAAGATGATAAATATGGGCTAACATTAAGAGTTACGATCACCTAGCTCCTATAATATTTCGACAAAATATTAATTAGTCCGGCCAAAGCTCTAGGCGTTGTAATGAATTCACCAAGTTTCCTTATTTTGCACAAATTTAAATATGTGCAAAGATATATATTTGATGCATTATTAGTATATTATGTTATACATTATTAATGAATTATACATTTATATTTTATTAAAAAATTAATTTTAAATATAATTATAGATATTATATTTAATTCAAGATCCAAATCAATCGAGCTTAGTCTAATTTCAAGCTTAATTGTCAAATTTTGTATTTTGTTTTATCTAATTTTCTATTTTTTTATTTTATCATTATTGTTGTATTTATCTTTATTATATATATTTATCTTTATTCTTTATCTTATTTATTTATCTTATTATATATATATATTTATCTTTATTCTTTATCTTATTTATTTATCTTTCTTTATTTTTATCTCCTTTTATATTTATCTCCTTTTATTTATCTTTATTTATTGTTTTTTATTTTATTTTGTCATATATCTTTTTTTATTAATTCTATTTGTTTGTCCTTAATTATTATTTCTTGGATAATTAAAAAAATAAAAAAAAAAAAGAAAAGAAGGTAGAAAGTTAAAATTGAGGAGGGGGATTTGGTGATGAAGTTTGGAACAATAAGGACTTCTTGGTGATAAAGGCTGGTTTTATTGGGTTGGGATAAGGATTTTTGAAGATAAATTGGGTTTTTAGGCAATAATTCAATTTTAAAAAATGAGATGATTTAAAGTACTTGGGATTTTCTCCTAGAAATGGCTTTGCAATTCATCACATTGGGGTAGGAAGGGGGAATAATCGAAGAGAAATCTGATAGTGAAATAGGAAGTGACAATTCTAGTTTGAGTGTTCATTTTTTTGATTTAGAGTTGTCTTGGAGAATTGGAGGGAATTAAAGGGAGAAACAACATTAAAAGGTCAAAATTCGTCAAGGGTGAATTTTTTTTGCAATTTTTTTAGAATTTTTTAGGTCTTTTTGTATGTTTTGATAGAATTTTTTATGAAAATTTGAATTTTCTGACAAAAATCCCAATTGCGAGCAAGATTCCGACAATAGTCCCTAAATCTTAGTGATGTTCTTCGACTATTCCTAGAACCAGTTGAAGCTTCTAACAAAAGTTTGGACTTTCCGAAGATCTTATCCAATTTTCGATGTATGGTTTAAAGAGAAGGCAAAGAATCAATTCAATGAGCACTAGAAGAAATTTGACATATAGTGAAGCTAAAAAAAAATGTCGATAAAATCCCAAAATCCATCAGTATAGCACCATAAACCCTATATCGATGGTCAAAATATGTATTTCAATGAATTTTTAACCGTCAGTATATCCCTTATTGATATAGACCTATACTAATGGTTTTAAAGTGTCAGAATAGCTTATAGAGATATACCTATAGTTCAAAACCATCCGTAAATGTATATCTATTAGTATAGCATCCGTTGTGTGTTCCATCATTATACCTTTTATCGACAATTAACATTTGTTAGTATAGACTTGTATGTTTTAATTTTTCTTGCCTATATCGATGGTTAATGGTCGTTAGTATAGACTTGTAATGTTTTTTACCTATATTGACGGTTAAAACTCGTTAGTATAAATTTTTTTGTTTTAAGTTTCTTACCTATACCGATAGCTAATGCTTATCAGTATAGACTTATATGTTTTAATTTTTTTGACCTATACCGACGATTAACACCTGTCAGTATAGACTTGTAATTTTTTTTATCTATACCAACACTTAGCATCCGTTAGTATAGACTTATTTTTTTTAATAATCTTACCTATATCGACGGTTAGAGATTGTCAGTATAGAATTATATACTTTAATTTTCTTACCTTTACCAACGATTAGAGATTGTCAGTATAGACTTATATGTTTTAATTTTTTTATTATATTTTAGTGACTGTTAGTATTGCCTGAAATATTTTAATGATCAAATACGTCAGTATAAATGTTAAGACGTTGGTAAATTTTTAAAAAAATTATATTTTTAATTATTAATATTAATTTATTTATAATCATAATAAGATATGTTTTTATATAAACAAAAAAAAATAAAGTAAAAGATATTTAATTACATTAAAACTACAAGTAAATTATTTATAATCCACAAACTTAGTATAAGTGAAAAACTGAAGTCATTGTACCAAGTTTGATAAAACAAACATTGATAAAATAAACATAGATAAAGAGTTAAACCACCTTACCCTAAAAAATACAATTATAAGTTTGCATCACCAGACATCTAAAGACCTTTTTATCATCTTAAAACTTCAATAAAACTCATAAACAAGATAATATTAAAAAATTTGTAGACAAATAAACAATTGCAAAACCACCTTAATAAGAAAAAACATACATGCACCTAT